CTAATGTGTTTGTTCATGTTTAGCCATTGCAGTTGTTGAGTTAGATGCACAAGTTTTATATAGGGAAACTCTCAGACTCTGCCTTTAGTCATTATAGCCAAAGTCATCTCAGAAGTCTGAGGCTAAGCAGCACAGAAATGAAATAATTCTTGCATCAGCACAGCCTGTCTCCACCTATTTGTTCACATAACACTCCTATGGTTTGCTCTTTGTGTACTGCTATTTTACTAAACACTAAAAATGAGTATACTAGCTTGTGGACTAATGTCATTTTCCATGGTCCAATTTCCTGGGAGCAAGTGAGAAAGCTGCAAGTGATGCACAGAAACACTTTAAAAAATACATCCTTGTCTTTCCAGTGTAAATTTCTTGTCATTACTTAGATTTTGGTATTTCTTTCGCAAGTTAGACTGTAGCTGAATATTTTTTTCACATCTTTCTCTTCTGCTTTTCTTTTTGTATGTATTCTACCATACAGAAGTTAGCTGGCATTCTTTTTAGTTTTTTTCTTCACTACAACCGCAGCAATACCTAAATAAGCATGTATTCCTTTCAGCTCTGTTGGCCTAAGACTTATAATAAGGCATGTGGTGAAGTTGCCACTTTATATCTAACCCCAGCAACAAACAGAATCCAACATTCTTCAGATTCTGATTTCTGCTTAATGTTAGGACAGAAAGAGAAATCTCAGAGTCTTCTGTGAGAAATCACCTTAACATTTTCAAATCCCACTTTTTAGATATTTACTTGGGAAGGAAATAGCAAGAAACAAACCAAAAATAACCTCAAACCAACAAATGTAGAACACAAAAACATATACATACACACATGTCTGTAGTCATTAAATCATAAAAAGGAACTTAAATACATTCTCCAGACAGTAGTGCTTGAAGTTGAGTGAAGTAAACTTTGATAGAAGTTTATCAAAATTGATCTTATGTTTCTTGATCCACTTTTGAATTGGTCAAATTACAATAATTTTTGTTGAATGGACTGTTTAGGTAATATATAATGCTTCTTATCCAATGATACTCAATGTATGAGACTGGTAAGGAATATCTCAAATGAACACGAGGCAATCACCAACACTTTGTGGACAGTTTTGCAGTTGAAAGCATTTCTTTGGAGTTGTTTGCCTTTGAATGGAAGGGCCCAAGAATGTTTCCTGTCTGAAGACTTGCCTGAGAACAGGTGTTTCCAGCTTAATAAAGGAGACTGGGAGATGATGCCACTATATCCTGTGAAGGCATATACAAGCTGGAGTATCCCTGTGTGCTCTTACCTGCTGATTTAAGTTCACAAGGCCTGGAAAATGGGAACAAAGGAGTTCCTGCTCAGATCTCAGAAGTCAGAAACTGTCGCTCCAAAAGAGCAGGCTTGACCACTCTGGACTATAAGAGTAAGTACTGTCACTGTAAGCAGTCAACTGACCACCTCAACCTTGGATGACCCACCACTACCAAAGATCAGCACCTGACACCAAGACATTGCTAGGTTGAGGAGCGGTGAACCTCTTTGCTTTGCTGTATCTGTATATCTGTATATCTGTATATCTGTACATCCATATATCTGTATATCTGTATATCTGTATGTCTGTATGTCTGTACGTCTGTATGTCTGTATGTCTGCCTCTCCCGATTTTCTGTATTTTCTCATTTTCTTCTTTTATACTTCTGCTTCTGTAGTAGCCATTGCCTAACATTGTCTTAACTGTAATGATTTTTAACCATAATTAGCCAATTAGCCAATTTTACCTTCAAGTAAAGCATTAATTGGTGTTAAGAAAGCTCTCAGTAAATTGATATGTATTATTCCTCTGATCCTTGGATGACTCCATCACTGCAGCAACCCCTGCTAACTAGAGGAGGTGCAGCTCAGGAGACAGAAAAAGATTCATCTCCCTTGAAACCCATGGAGTGGGATGAGACGTTCAAATACCTGAGGTATTAATAGAAAAAAAAAATGTATGATTGTCAGCTGCTTTTACATTTTGAAAGTAGGGGTAAGGTGGCCTTTCTTTGGTAGAGCTGGGTAAAGTGTCTGAGTAAGTAGAAATATTTTCTGAGTGCAACCATATTTCACTTGAAAATTTCCAGCATGATCACAGTGTCTGTGAACTTACCAGACTGTCAGACCCCCACTCTCTTCTTGAACAACTTGGGGAATTCAGTCAGAGGCAAAAATGTTAAAGACTGTAAGGCTCTGCAAGGCTCTGAAATGGCATCAGATAGAGGGAGATGTGAGAGGTTTCCTGCCAGTAGAGATAGCTATGCCACAAGGATAAGTTGTGTTAAACTCAAAAGAAATCCATTTGGGAAAAAGTGTTTAGAAATACTCCCCCCACAGGGTAATCTTCAAAGCTTACACTTTCTGAGAAACTAAATTGCCTTGGAGATAGAAATCTGTAGGAAACCTACCTTTAGTTTCAGTCTTCACAGAAGAGCTTGTTTCTTGTCGGTGGTGAAAAAAAAGCATATGCCCAAAAGCAAAGTGAGCACTAGACAAACTTAGCAATATTACTCTTTGTTAAATTAGCTGACGAGTGATTAGTACTATTGTTCAACTCAGCTGTTAACTTTTAGCTGATTTCCTAGCGCTTAATTCCTAGCTAATTTCAAAGCAATTTATGCATGAGCTAAGAGTTAAACATAGGCATAAATGCAGTATTGATACAGACATTCTATGGGCACATACTTAGTAAGAAATACTCTCTGAATTAAGCGTTAGCAAGATCTTCACATATCTACATATTCCTGCATCCTCCAGCACCATGACAAATTATGATGTAGTGAGGGATACGTATGAGTCTTATCTGTGAATCTGCCAAGTGAGTAAGACCACTGAATTTTAGTCATGTTGAAAGGAGCCTCAACCAGTTTGTTACTTCTCTTCTCCATCTGGCTTGGCAATGAATCAAGGAGAATATCAGTGCTCATTTCCTATTCGTGTATTATGCACAATTTGCTTTGAATGCCTTTTCTATTGTAACGCAAAAACTAGACTTTCATTTTATATTAGTGCTATGTTAGTAGGAGGATGTGAGAATTGAGGATGCTACTCAACTGATGAAACATATCTGTAAAGAAGAAGTTTTTAAATGGCTTAGAAATGACTGCTTAGAAATGCCTGCATTGATGAAACTGTATTCATTATTCTTCTCTCTTGCTCCTTGGCAGAAATAATTAATATTTTAAGAATTCAAAAATAGATGGAAGTAGTAAGATTGAGTAAGCAGAAACTGATTGTCAGGAGATTAGGCTTTAGTTAGTAGGATTTAAATATGCCTGGCGTGTCAAAGCAATGTGACAAGCCAGTGTTTTCATAATGTTCTGTGTCTACCTCATAACTTGTTGTGAAAGGCTGATGACTGTTGCCAGCTTGCTTTGTTCTTATTAATATTTTTGAAGATAAGGAAGTGAAATGGCTCCATTTCAGGAATTAAGTCATTTCTTTGTGCCAAAATGCTGACAGGAACTCTTGGTGAGGGAAGATAAATTACAGGTCTGACTCCTGCATCATAAGAAAGAAATCCACACTGCTTGAAAGGAGCCTTGCTGTTCAAAGTGGTGTTAACTCTTCTAACATTGCAGATGTGGGTGAGTTGCCTGTGTGAATTCATTTAATATGAAATGGAACACACTGCTGAACTGAGGCACTTTCAAGGTCTGATTTTGAAAGTTGGGGATAATTTTAGGAAAGAGGAGATCGAAAGAGCTAGCAAGTTTAACACATTGACCTTAGCCAATATGTTAATATCAGCTGTAGAACATTATGTGCTGCCCACATCTAATGGGATGTCTCCTTGTTTTTGTCACTGACTATTGCAGCTTCTTCAAAACTGTGTTTGCAGTCCCTTCTCCTCTCATCATATAGACTGTGTTCAAATTCCCAGCAAATAGCTCTCCATCCAACTCTATATTTGTCCAGTAAAACAGCCTTTCCTATGCAAAAATAACAGAACTACCCAGCACAACACCAATAGTAGTTTCCTCCTGGTGTACCTCATACGGACTAGATGTCTCTCAACTAGTTCTGACCAATACTATCCTGCTATTTCTTTTGATTTTCCAGCTTAAACAGATACAACAGACGTCAAAGGAGGACTCAAAATTGCTGGGAAAACACGTATTAAATAGCTGTTTAGTAGAAAATTCTTGTAATTACTACTGTTTCTTACAAAAAAGGAAAAAGAAAAAAAAAGGAACAGAAAAAGAATCAATGTATCCTATATACACAAGCAATACAACACAGATGCCTTGTAAACAGGGATTAGTAGCAGGACATTGTCATAGGAACTGTACACTTTTTCCCTTGGGAAACTTAAAACTCCATAAATTCAGGCAATTTAAGGCCACAGAGAAATGAAGTACTGACTATGCTCTTGTTCCCATTCCTTGCCATTGTGACATTTTACAAGCCAGGTTTCTGTACGTTCTCCCGTATAATTCTTAGTCCCCTCCCCACAGACACAAAACCCAAATATATTCCTCTCTACATTTACATCTTTATACTTCCCTTTCTTGGTTAAATCAGACCACAGGAAGTTATTTTCACTCTTCAATGCAAGCGTGCAATTGATGAAGCAACACTTTAATGAAGTACTTTAGAAAGGATTTTAGCAGAATCCTTGATTCTGCTAAAATACATCTTGAACTATTTTAATCTAAACAGTTCTATGACAACAGCTGGGAACATAACTTTTGGGAAATGTGGATGCTAATTCAGACTGGGAGATAAGATTCAGTGAAAACAATGAGTTGCAGCTGCTGCAACTGACACAGACACTACTACATCTAACAACATCTTTTGAGATCAAAGGCAGACTGAGCCCTAAGATAAGCACCCATCCATCTGTCTTATGACAAGCTGCAGCTGCAAGTTGGGTGGCAACCAAATTCTTCACCATTCAACTTGCATTTCCTTGTTTATGCAAAAACTTCTTGTCATTTTCATACTGATTTCTGTAAAGCTTAAGTGGCCCTTTCCCTCCCAGACACTACCTGTGATTGCCAGCTGTGTAACAAAGAAGGTCATTCGAGATTTCCGCTTCCTTCTCCATGTAGAGAAGAGCACGATGGCATTTCCAGCAATAGTAACAATAAAGAGGATCCAAAGAGTCACCAGCTGCTCTGTCTGCATCAGAAAGACAAAAAAATGATGTAGGCAGGTGAGTGGATAGTGACTTGGGTTAAGCCAATCAGTTAACATAGGACAAATGAGACGAGAATGCAAAAAGGAGTGGAATGTAAGTTTTGACAATTGATTTTTAATTATATAGACTAAAAGATATTCTTGTTCTTTCAGAAAATACCTCACATGCATCATCACCAGTGATGTCCCTCCCAGATTGATTTGCAGTGCCTGTATATTACTGCTATATTCACAAAACTGCTATCGATGCCTGTGTTCAGCACTGGACACTAAAATGAGAGGCAGCCATCAGCTTGCTCTTGTTGCTCCAACAAGCTGTGAAATAACCAACTGCCACGCTTTGGAATACTGATAGACATGCTTCTTTGGAGCAATGGGGGAAATAAATGCTTCTCTCCTTCCCAGGCCCATTGAGTATGGGTCACCCATAAGCCCTATGAAATTCAGACACCCACTCCATGATCTAGATGTATAGCAAGATTGAAAAGTAAGCATGACCCACTGTAAGAAAAAGTAAAATTGTGCAGCATGCAATACATGATGACAAAACGTCCCCTAGTGGTACTGTGTACAAAGAAAAGAAAAATAAGAAGCACTCTGGAAGCATTATGATCCTCTGACTGCAACACTAAGGGCATACACACACACATTTGTTTGCTTCATGTGCATGAGCACACAATTTGCTCCCTCCTTTATGGCCTACTGAAACGTTGTTGGTCTCCTCTAAATGCAGGTGAGTTATTTTTCAGTGCTATTCTGTAGGTTTCTCCTAGCCACGTGGGACTGCAAAATTCAGTTTGTCTACAGCAAGCCAACCAGTTTTAATGCCTGAGAAGCACTGAGTCTGCAGAGCATGGAGTCAGCCTGGAGAAAATATTCAGCATTCCTGCAAGCTTAGAAAACCTAACTTGCATAAGGCATGTATGGCAAGAAAGAAAACAATTCTGCAGCTCTTCTGCAAAGACAAGCAGAACAGACAGCATTTTTCACAGCAAGACTTTGAAGGGCATAGGACAGAGAAACAAGGAAAGGCAGAATTAAGAAGTGCTGAAGTATCCAGCAGTGATAAGTATCACTAGTATTAAATGGGGAGGTCGGTGGCCCTGCATATGGCAGGGGGGTTGGAGATTCATGATCCCTGGGGTCCCTTTCAACCCTGGCCATTCTGTGATTCCATGATTCTGTGATTCTGTGATAATACACACGTTGTTATTACAGCCAAGGGGAGAAAAAAAATACACACGTGGCTCAGCAGCCAGCATGCATAGTTCCTTTTCTACTGAGGAACAGAACCAGCTCTGCTTCAGTCTGGTAGCAATGGGACTTCATGACCTATGTGGCTGTGCAGAAGAGGCAGGACCCACTTGCTGTATGAGCAATTCCAGGCTGTGCTCCATGCCTGAGCCCAGGGATTAGTTTAAGCACACAATGAATGCTGTGTTTAGATGGTTTCATTTTTCCCAGCACGATAACTTCTGTTAGTTTAATCTGTCATTTGGGTCACCTCATCTAACTTTAAAGCTCTAAAGAGAGACAGCTACTCTAAATGGTCTTTGTAGTCTAGATAATGGTAATATCTCAGACATGAGTCATCATTCATCTCACCCACCCTGGGATAGCTGTCTCCACTGATTATAGAATCACCTATACAAGACAACCAGTGTGGGCTGTGTGCTTAAATTTTAGAAGAAAACAAAACAAAACAAGCAAACAAAAAAACAAAACAAGCAAACAAAGAACAAACAAACATGTTTTAAAATCTAGCAATCTCTTGGAAGCAAATTCCCTTTGCAACACTTAGCAGAGCCGTGGTAAAACTATGCTTACGGGGACACTTTTTTTGTACAGGGATTGGAAGGAGACATCTTTTTGGATGATAAATAAAACGGGAGGGAAAAAAAGAAGTAAGATTTCATATCACATTTGTCCTTGAAATCAATTGGTTCTCCTAAGGGATTGGCTTGTCTTTTTCATTTCAGAAAAGATCTTTCATATGTTAAAAAAATAAGGGACAAGACGTGCTCCCATTTTCTCTGATATAAAATTGGGAGAGCATTTTTTAAAAAGAAATTCTGCATTCCTGTATTGTAATGATAAGGCTAACAACAGAACAAGGCTCTGACACAAATCTTTTTGCAGTTCCTGCATAAGAAAATCCTCAGTGTCAGCCAAGCCTGTGTTAGAGGGGTGCTTCATCCCCACATAGGGGTAAGCACACATTGTCAGTCGTCTTGCCAACTTTTAATGAGTGCTTTAAGCTCTACAGAAACGTACAATTAAACCAATCTACAAAAATGACAAAAAAGGTGCAAAAGTTGAGTAAGGAGAGCTAAATTTGAAAGACTGTAGACAAAAGCATATAGACAAAGTTTCTATTCATCTATTTGTGGTAGCTGCTGAACAGAGAGCAGAGAGAAAGATCTCATTCTTGGGGATTAAGGAACTACATTAATAGGCAGCTTAAATCACTGCAGCCTCTATCAGTCTGAATTAGCTTGCGGAATGAAAACTTCTGTAGGTATTAATGGGATGCTCATCATGATAAAGGCCTTCATAGAAGCTATGGCTGGAATTCAAAATGTTCTTGATGAACTGGAAACACACACTTTTAAAAACAGGATTCCATTAAATAAAGGAGCAGCACAGGACACTACGGCGCAGTAGCTGTAATGATTCCAGGCTGGGTGAGCCTTCCAAACATCACCCCCAACACACAGCAGGTGAAGGTTCTCTGCAGGTGGAATACTTGGCCTCACCTCCAGCACTGGGTGCATGTTTGGGCACTGCAATCTAAGGGGGCCTACAAAGACGGGGAAGGATCTACAGGCAAGAAGCATGGGGACAACACTGCCAGACATAAGGTTTGAATTTTTGGGTGGTCCTCTCTGGAGTCAAGGGTTGGACTTGATGATTCTTACAGATCCCTTTAACTTGAGATATTCTCTAGTTCTACATTGAAAACAATGACAATTGCCATGAGACCAACACGCGTTGCATGTCTCTGCTCCACTGAACCCACTATGTCCACTTTGGGACACTGCATTTCAAGAGAGGCATAGGGTAAGGAGTTGACAGCAGTTCAGAGAATACACCTGAGCAAGAAGAGGGAATTATTTAAATTGCTTGACCTAGCAAACAACAGACTCCAGGAATAAATGAGCATATCTTTGAAGACATGATAAGGCTGTAGGAATAATAATAAAAAAAAGGAACAAAATATTCTTCTGGTCCACTGCAGATTGGCCCAAAATCAATGAACCAAAATTACAGCATAGAATTCAGGATGGTTATTTACAAATTTTCATTTACAAAATACCTGTATAGATTGATTGAGTCAATGAAATCTCCATCTATGAAAATAAGTCTTAGATTTGAGATACAGCTGATTGATCCCTGAACTTCACTTCAGCTGCATTGTCCAGAATTCTGTTTTATACTTCACAGTGAGGTGAAATTTTGCTTAAAAATGAATGTGTTTCACTTCATGTCATGTTCATCCAGCAGAAATCGTCTTTTTGTAGCAACCTTCAGCAAGGTGATTTGCAAGAAGAAAAGAGAACCACTGTTTAATAACATCTTACACAGAAAACTGGATAAAAAGATAATAACATCTCCTTGTGTAGAAGCTTTCTTCAAGGGCTGCTTTTGTAGTGGGTGTACTAACTACAATACATAAGAACATCATGAGTGAGACCAGTGTCATACAGCAGTTCTTGTAGATTAGAAAAATTAAAAATGCTAGTGACCTAAATAAGGTTATAGGACAAATTAAATCAAGAGGATTTCCTTGGATTGACGATTACCGTTGCTTATGCTTCTATTCCACAAGACTGCTGTTTGAAGCATGGAAGTGCTTGGCATCTGGAGCACATATTCATGTTTTGCTAATTTGCTTTAAGATTAAATCCAGCTTTAGCCAATGAAGCAAGTCGCCTCATGGGTGAAATGTAAGACAAGAAAGCTGTCTGAAAAGTGCATACGTTTTCTTTTGCTTCCAGAAGTGTTTTGTTATTTTGTCTCTCTAACAAAATTTCAGAATTCACAGGCTGCAATAAGTCTAGCATGAGGTGTACTGTGCTTTATGTTTGAAACGAAGTGCATCCCTGTAAGCCTGGTGTACCACTCACTCACCATCAAAGGCAGAAGGGATCCTTATGGATTCTAGGCATCTGTGCTATCATGATGTGATTTGTATTTATCTTGTATCAATGACAAAATTCACTCCTGAGCTCTTTCAGGGTCTCAAGTTCTGTGTCTATGAGTTATTGCAGTGTGGGGAATAGTAGTGGAAAAAGTTTACTATCTTCCCTAATGTTGCTGGCTGGTGTCTTAACATGTCGTTAGGAGGCTTATAGCGAATTCAAGTTGTCACTGACCTGGTGCTTTCCTGCTTCATGCTCTTGGTCTGTTGAGTGATGAAGACACTACTATTCTATGCATCCCTACTATCACAGGCTGGTAGTGATGTAAGTCTCTGAGCAGCTTCTTCTTACTAGGTGATTAAGTTCTGGGAATACGTGAATTATCTGGGGATAGTCTGACTGCTTGCATTTTGTTCATTTTAAAAATGATGTAAGAATTGTAACCTATTGCAATCACTGAGATGTACTCATGGAGTAAAGTAAGCAAATTCACAAGTAAGTTCCTCTTAACATGTAAAAAGGACACATAAAATTGCTTGCTAAATTGGGAAACTGACATACTGAAGATCATGTTCACCACTAGTAAATTGTATTGCTCTGTTCTAAAGGAAGTTTTAAAGAAAAAAATAGAGAGAGGGAAAACTTTTTCTCATCTCCTGAAATAAACACTTCAACTGCAGACCATGCAAGCAAATGGAGGTCCCCAGGTTTTGCATTATTTTGACCCTGTTATAGAGACATGGAGTCCTGAATTTTGACTACTGAAAATACGTAAGAGAGGTATGTTATTTTAGCTGATTCCATGTAGGGTGGAACAGAAGAGGAAAGGGAAAGGAAAGG